TTTTTACCATGCTAAAAATATACAGCTAAATCATAGTACCGGTTTCTATTTGGTCAAAGTTTTAGCAAAGCTTACACTGTAAAAAAAAATCCGTAAAATTTACGGTAAAAAAACGGCAGCTGTGGTTACCGGAATTTTACCGTAAAAAATACGGTAGCAACGTTTTAGATGTTACGGTTTAAACCTAAATTTACAGTTAAATACCGTAATTTAATTTGATATAATGTTAATATACCAACCTATTGAAGTACTGAAATCTGATTTGTACCTTTGTAATACACTGATAACCACCAAATGCAGGTGGTGATGAGAAAGTCACATGATGAACCAAAGCCCATCACAAGCAGCTTTTAGATAATAACATATATAGAAGGTGCACAGTGTCATTCAAGCAAACACCAAACACCATCATGGTAACACACATGAAACTGAAATAATGCAATAAACATTCATTTAACAACATTAGGTGTAACACACAACCCTAATATAAAAAACTGATAAGAAAAAACTAAGAAGAAACATAGTTATTTCAACAAAAAAACATAAAATTTTAAATGTAACGCAGGGAATTCTGGGAATGTCAATTTACGGTTATTCATTGTAAATTATACGGTATTTTGCACCTCCAAAAACGGTATACTACCGTAAAATTGATGTCCAATACATGTAATGTCCAATACAGTTTTTCACCGTATATAGTAGGGGAATTTACCATTAACCATTTAACAGGCTTTTACTGTAGCATTTTTACAGTCTTTTACCGTTAAATTCACAGTCATTTTTTACAGTATACAGATGGCTGATGAGCTCAACTGAAGTCAGACACACACTGGTTAATCGGACTAGAGCTGCTGGATCACCTTGGATGGGGATCTGGACCGTGTTTCAAAGCACAACTTGAACTAGATGACAAGCTTGACCACCTGTTGTTGCTTTTCCAGCAGGAAAATTTTGTTCACAGTGGACAGACTCAGAAAACTCCTGCTCATTCTGATTCTGAATGCAACATATTATAAAAATAAATAAATAAATAAAAACTAAAAATACATTTATTAGTTAAAAAGATATACATTTGTTATGTAAAATTATTATCAGTACAGTAATATATATATATATATATATATATATTAATTATTATTATAATTTTAAGTGATGCTGGGAACATGGAGTCAAAATATCAACCCATATAATGAAAATGCATGATTGCATGATTACTGTCTACAAAGAGCAGCTGCAGTTTAGCAAATAAGTGTGTATAAATAAAGAAATAAGCATAAATAAATAATGCAAATAAGGAAACAAACAAATAAAGTAAAAGCAAATAAGCAAATAAATGAATAATCAAATAAATAAAAACATAATAGCAATAATTTTTCATAATAGAAAATGTTTTCATAATAAGAAAAAATAAATAAGCAAATACTGACTGACTGACTTAATGAATGAATGAATGAATGAATGCACAAATAAATAAATGGCTATCAAGAGCAGATGCAGTTTAGTTATTAAATAAGCATATTAATAAAAAAGCTAATAATATAGCACATAAGCTTAAATAAATTAATAACAAACAAATAAATAAATAAATAATAACATGTAAACATAAATAAATAAACAAAAACAAATAAATAGGTGCACATTACACCTGGACAACATTGACTTCATGAAATGATATTGTTTCTACAGATCAAGTCTTTTAAAGCTTTGAAAAATGTGATCCAAAGCACCTTCCCTTGAACCCATGACCTTTACATTGCCAGTGAAATGCTCTAAGAGGAACCCATCAGAAAGGCTTATTTAGATCTATTTAAGTGTTTTATTCTCTCTAATACCACCATTCATCCCCACAATCCTAGCAGGAAGGTCTTTTGCCTTCTTTTCAAGCACAGATTCTTAAATTCAGTCCCAAAGCCACATCCATCCAGCACGGCTATGAAAGGCCTTACAACATATAATCTTGACACTTCTGTGCAACTTGCAACATACATCTGAACAAAGAAACAGAACATAGTATTAGAAAAAGATTACAAGTCCATGCAGTTGCCTGCTTCTTAATGTCTCTCGTAACACACAGACTCTCTCCAGGCCTGCTGAGACCCCTCGTCAGCATCAGGTCTCTGGAGAAAAGGTCATATTGGCAGTCAATGTGCCCTCTATGAGCATAAACCCTCATCAGCAGTCTGATAGCAGGAAAACATCCATGCCAGCAGTCTGAATCCTGCATACCGAATGAGTTTCAACCAACAATATGCCATAAGTCTCTGTACGCTGTGGCTATTTCTGCTCCATAAGTCCTGACAATAGTCAGTGATGTGCATTGTACAAGTCTCACGGGGAAAAGATCCCCTTAAAAGATATATAGCACACCCATGAGAACAACTTTTAATGGTTTTCAGTTGATGGCAGTTGATATAGTACATACAGCATTTCTAATGCAGTGAAAAATGAATGAATGAATGAATTAATTAATTAACGTATGTACATGTAAATCACGATTCAGCAGATACATTGATTGGTCACCCTTTTGATTTACATATAAATGAAACCTTTTTATCAGTCTGTCCACCTGTTTGAACCTCATCACGAGCCGTTCCCCCGTGAGAGATGTGACTTGGTGTTGGTCTTCATTCGCACATCAATGAGCGACGACTCGGGTTCTGACAGTACACAGTGCTTTGTATTCGGCTGGTGTCACCACATCAGAAATGAGATATTTGCCAACTCCATCACGATGAAAACATCCAGCCAGTGAGGGGGGAGGTGGAACCGACAGTGACCCATTAGGTCACATTCAATCTTCATTAATATTTTTACATATTTTGGGGCTGCTTTTAGTGAAATGACAGTACAGAGAAGCATTCCAAAGATATGGGTCGGCGAGACGTTTTAATGTTTTTGAAAGAGTCTCTTCTGCTCAACAAGGATGCATTTATTTGATCAAAAATACTGTTAAAATTGTGAAATATTATTCCAATATGACATAATGACATATATACTGTATATATATATATATATATATATATATATATATATATATATATATATATATATATATATATATAGATAGAAAACAGTTATTTTAAATTGGAATAATATTTCACAATTTTAACAGTATTTTTGATCAAATAAATGCATCCTTGTTGAGCAGAAGAGACTCTTTCAAAAACATTAAAACGTCTCGCCGACCCATATCTTTGGAATGCTTCTCTGTACTGTCATTTCACTAAAAGCAGCCCCAAAATATGTAAAAATATTAATGAAGATTGAATGTGACCTAATGGGTCACTGTCGGTTCCACCTCCCCCCTCACTGGCTGGATGTTTTCATCGTGATGGAGTTGGCAAATATCTCATTTCTGATGTGGTGACACCAGCCGAATACAAAGCACTGTGTACTGTCAGAACCCGAGTCGTCGCTCATTGATGTGCGAATGAAGACCAACACCAAGTCACATCTCTCACGGGGGAACGGCTCGTGATGAGGTTCAAACAGGTGGACAGACTGATAAAAAGGTTTCATTTATATGTAAATCAAAAGGGTGACCAATCAATTATTCTCATTTGAATAAACACTCCTGTCCCTTATGTCCCATTGGACCATTGATTCGACTCCTAATTCCAGTCATGGATCTGGCCCCCTTCAGCTGCAGATACAAACAGTGGAGTGTCCTCGTCTTTAGACCAGTTTGAACTGTGGCTCTATGACAAAAAACAGGCTGAACTATGCAAATTGGAAATCCATATCTGGACGAGGGCTCTGCAATTGCTGCATAAGATTAATTATTTGTCAGACGCTGTCGCCGTGTGGAAAAGTGCAAAAGGGTGAAAAATATCACTGATTTCACATCTAGCTGCCTGCATTTTTCAGTGTTTATTTATTTGGCATTGTCTTGTGGATTCAGTATATATATATATAAACTGTATATATATATATATATATATATATATATA